CCCCCCCTCCCCCCCCCCCAAAAACTCCCACCTACCCATGCATGCGGATGATAACGCGTTCAGATAGGTTGAGCTTGATTGAGCTACTCGATGAATTTAAGCTTGAGTGAGCATAATTAGAGGCTCTTCTAATGCTCTCAAATGGGTTGAGCTTAATTAAGCCACTTGATGGCCCCACATAAGGGTTGAGCATGACTGAGTAAAATCAGAGGCCCCACAGCAGTTTTAGCCGTCCATGTATGTATTTCCAGATACTCATGTACATAGTCTATGTCCAAAATTTTCAGAAAAGTTATTTCTTTAAAACTAATTCAGTTTTCAGCTTCAGATTCCGATATCCATTTTAAACTCAGCTCACAGCTTTAGTTTCAGTTATAAGATGAAGACTTAGTAATGTTCGGCCAAAATGCTATACCTTTAGCACATTACTCGCCCTATATTTTGTTGGTTTAGTGATTTAGTGTGCGATATTTGAGCTAAATTATGTTGTTTTATGTGTAGGAACATAGGAAGAATAGTCGAATGAAAGTTGCACAAAAAGAGGACAAAAATGCAAGAAAAGAGCACAAAAGCATCAAGTACCCAAACAGTGCTACAGACCAGGCTTCACGAGGTATATAATTATCAAAATTGAGACAAAACCAACACTGTATTGTCTCTAACATGTCCATTCTCTTTGTCTACAGTGATGAGAAAATGGGATCCACCTACAAAAGTAGTTCCAGCGTCGACAATGAAGACATTGCCTGAAACATATTCTGAAGAATCATGGATTAAGTATCTGACCACTGATGTTAAAGCCGGATCTGTCGTTCCAAGAGTTTTCAAAGGAATGGTTCTCAAAGTAACATTATTGAACCATTCCTTTTGCACAAGGCTCTCTGTTATTTCAGATTTGAATATTCCTGGTGATATTGAGTTCACTCTGATCTTGTCTACTCCCAATTCCAGGGCCATCATCTGCCATTCCATTATTTGAATAATTTATTAGCATTTATAACTCAGAGGAAAAATCGACATTCTCATGTATTTCTAAAAAAATAAAAAATAGCTAAATTTGGAGAGTTGAGGTATTTGACCAAGCTTTTAGGAAAGAAAAAAAGAATATTTTTAAGTAGTAGAATAAGCTGTTTTTCACAAGTTGAAAATGGTAGTTCCCCTATAAGCACTTTTCACACCTTGGACAAACATAAATTGTTGCTCTAATATTGAAAAAAATGCGAGTTGTGCCAGTACTGTAACTAACTAGTTTGCTTTCTCATGAAAGATTTAATCTCTTCATTTTACATTAGGGTGGTTCCTAACTAATGTTACCATGCCCTACGCTAGCTACTGTAACGACTCCGCCTTCATCAAATTAAACCTTTTATTAAGATGGCAGGTAAGAAGGGAAGCTTTGGCGTAATCAGTAAAGTTGCTGCCATGTGACCAGGATGTCGCAGGTACGAGCCATGAAAACAGCCTCTTACAGAAATGCAGGGTAAGACTGCGTACGATAAACCCTTGTGGTCCTGCCCTTCCGAGCTTAGTGTACCTAGCTGCCCAACGTAACCTTAACGATGAATATTCCTTCAATAGTGCAGTTGAATGAAGCTATAATTAATTGTGCTATAAATCTCACAAGAAAACCAAGGTAATGGTACTAGTACTACCTTAGTGACCATGTCAAGAGCCATCTTTGAAGAAGCGTAAGCAACAGCCCCTGGTATTAGTACCCGATTCAGACCAGCAGTTGAACTGATATTAATAACAGATCCTCCGCCTTGTTTAGCATCGCGCATTCATCTACAAACGTATATGGACACCAACCATGCCCCTCTTAGGTTTGTCTTAAAGGTACGGTTCCACTCCTCCTCTGGCAATTTCACTGAAGAGTGCACATTACCTGGTCAAATAAATCGACTATTTAATTTTAAGTACATACACAACACAAAGTTTCCAGCACCACAGCTACAGCATTGTATGCTTCGGTTCGAAAGTACTGGGTTCAGTTGAACCTTCCATGTTGCATCCGCCCGTGATGTATATATCACTATGTTAGGTACCTTTAAGCCCAGCATTGTTAACCAAGGCATCAATACGTCCGAAGGCGTCCCAAGCTCTCTCTACAGCAGCCTGAATTGTAGAACCATCCGTGGTGACATCAAGCTGGATGGCGATTGCACGCTGGGTGTCTTCTGAGTTATTAATGTGGTCGCAGAGAGATTTCAGTCTGTCAATACGACGAGCAGCAGCAATGATGCTGCAGCCGACTTTTGCCAAGTCGAGACAGAACTCTCGCCCTGTTCCTGATGATGCACCTGTCACCATTACTAATTTTCCGCTCAGGTCTTTCCACGGCTCCATTGTTTCTGTATGCATTAGATACACAAAGTTATGGATACATACGTTTTATAGAAAGGTTCAAATGCATTTTTGGTAGAGAAGATCGAGAGCCAGTTATTATTATTTTATGAAAGGGTTGAGTGTACCCATTAGTGGCTAATGTGCGACCAGATCGAAGACTTTTACACTAATTTTTTTGGTACCTGACGCATGAGTTGTAACCATTCAGCAAATTCACATCTTTAGTTGCTTTTGCAGACTTCAACATTATTACTTATTAAAGATCACTTATTAATAATAACCTCTGCTCTCTCTGTTTAAAAAAAAAAAATTGACATTATTTCCTTATTAGTCAGTTCAAAAAGAATGGCTCCTTTCAATATTTCCTCAATAGTAAGCACTTATAGCCACACAGATGTTATGACACGTTTTAGACCACAAGTTTCAAAAGTTTTACAGCCACACATATGTTATGGCTTATTTAAGACCGTATATTTCATAAGTCTTTCCTTCTTTATTAAAATTTGTGACAAGTCAAACTAAGACAATCTTTTTGAAAGAGAGGGAGTAGTAATAATCAACAGAGAGTTAGACTTCACAACCACATTCAGACAAGTAGCGAAGCCGCATTCAACCAAGGGGTGTCTCGCTAGAAGATTATATTGTATTGCTAGATAAATTTTTCCGTTTTATGTATATTTACTATACGTTGACTACCCTAAACTTTCGGTGTATATATTTATATTTTTATATTTTGACATCCCTTGCTGAAAATTCTGGTTCCGCCACTAATTCAGACAAACCATTCTCAACATATACACATGCAGTCATATTTCCACCTAAAGCCACTAGACGGGAATTTTGTTCCAATATTCACATAGTTGTATCATTATTCATTTGAAATCATAAATATGCATCTGAATGTGCTAAAGATAAACCTTCATATATAAGGCTGGTGTTAATTTTCTTCTAAGCCAACAACCCAGGAGGTATAATTAACCCTTTAAAATAATTAACTACAATATTATTAATTGTAAGGTGCATGTACCAGAAAAATTGTATGTCAATTAGAGAATATTGAAGAAATTATCTGAACCATAATAAAATAAAGAAGTATATCATGATCTCTTCGTTTTTTAGTACAGCATTATTGGGATTCCATTAATCAAACAACTGGACAAAGTCCAAATAATGACAAAACTGGCTATAAAAACTTGCCAGGTGGGAATAAAAAACAGAAAAAGTCAAGTTACATGGACACATAAATAGTATAAGATGGCATCAGGGAATTAGGATTTTATTGTTTCATTATGTAAAAGTATTTCATGATCTATTCGTTTTAACAATAAACACCATGGAACACGGTCAAGTTGTCTTCGTGTAGGTCACGGGTTCAAGCCATGGAATCAGCCATCTTCTTGGACTGTGGCTCTTCCCCAGATTTTGCATAAACACGGGATGTTTTTTGCATCTTACTGTCCTTTTATATTAATGCATGGAGAATCTAATAATAAGACAACTGGTGAAAGTTTTAATAATGAAAAAACTGGAACCTAAAGGCGATGGACAATAGTCCATGAAATTTTTCTTTCTAAACCTATACTTACTTCTTAAATAATTCTACCCTGCTAATTCGCAACTAAAGTACCAAAATCATTAGCCTCTCTTTCTCTGTTTCTGTGGGAGAGAGAAATCTGCAGCTTTTCTGATTTTAAAGGCTAAAAAGAAGGTCCCTTTTGAATTTTAAGGTATTTCGTTTTTCACAAAAACTCTTATCTTTATTTACCGGGTGAGACGCTAGTCTGACAGGGTTGTGTCTTAGAGTGCTAGTGGTTATTGTTGTGCCCACATTTGTCTTTCACTTTTCATAGTACCGAGCCTTTCTTATCTGTTACTGTTATTGTTTTTCATCTATTTTCTGGTACTTTTGATCCTGTTATTATTTCTATGCTTTCTGTTGTTGGTACTGATATATTGTATTTTTCATCTGTTTGAGCCGAGGGTCTATCGGAAACAGCCTCTCTACCCCTTGGAATAGGGGTAAAGTCTACCTACACTCTACCCTCTCTACCCTCCCAAACCCCACTTGTGGGATTTTACTGAATTGTATGTTGTATGTTGTTTGTCGTTCGATATGCTCATTCTTGTTTTATTAACTAACATATTTACTCAATCACTACCTTATATCTTAACTATGATAATATATAAACCAAGATTTGAAGCAAACTTAAATGTTGCAGATTCAGGATTGAAGAGGTAGGAGAAGAAAAAATGGGAGCCGTGCGCAGGCGTGGAAATAATATGTTTGCTCCAACGACAGAACCAAAGAAAAATCCTCTCCAAAGAGTGCCATTTTCAAAGCCCCCTTTTACAATTGGTGACATCAAGAAGGCAATTCCTCCTCATTGCTTTCATCGATCTCTCATTCGCTCGTTCTCCTATCTTATTCAAGATCTCATATTTGTCTCCATCTTTTACTATATTGCCACAACTTATTTCCATTTCCTTCCGTCGCCATATAGTTACCTAGCATGGCCTATTTACTGGATCGCTCAAGGTTGTGTTTTCACCGGAATATGGATGATTGGCCATGAGTGTGGCCACCATTCCTTCAGTGATTACCAATGGGTAGACGACACTGTTGGTCTTATCCTTCACTCTGTACTTCTAACGCCATACTTCTCATGGAAATATAGTCATCGTCGTCACCATTCTAATACTAGTTTCCTTGAGCATGATGAAGTATACGTGCCTAGGCTTAAATCCGAACTAAGACAGCTCACCAAGTATTTGAACAATCCACCAGTACAAGTACTCGGACTTGCCTGCACCCTCATTCTTGGCTGGCCTTTGTATTTGGTCTTCAATGCCTCCGGTAGACTATATCATCGCTTTGCGTGTCATTTTTATCCATATAGCCCAATATATGATAATCGCGAGAGAATACAAATCTACATTTCAGATGCAGGTGTGATTGGAGCTAGTTATGTGTTGTATCGCAATGCTTTGGCACAAAGTCTAGCTTGGCTTATATGCTTCTATGGGGTGCCCCTCCAAATTATGAGCATCTTTATAGTGTTAATCACTTTTTTGCACCGTACTCACTCTTCATTGCCACACTATGATTCATCTGAGTGGGATTGGTTAAGAGGTATGAGTTCAGACTCAGGAAGACTAAGCGACTGGGTACAGTTTAGCACGGTAGAAGGTATACAGAAATGATAGTTGGAGGCAAAGCAGGTGGATCATCTCCTGCGGAGTATTCTAAAGTTGTGTGATCCTTATGTTATCTATTAGAAGATCTCATTTACAAGTGAAGAAAATGTGTTGACATCTAAATTGGATCGCCTAGAGAGTGGGCTTAACTGTTGTGTGAGTGAATGCGAGATTTGCAGAAGAGTTAAAAAAAAATTCTAGATGATTTGTGTTTCCACAAGCTTATGAACGATTGAGTTTAATCTCACTATGGTATTAAGGCAGCAATGGAGTATGTGCGTTATGAGTTGTTGGGAGTGTTTTGATCTATGGCTTCGAGCCAAGTTGGGGAGTTTGCTATTGATTAGCTAATTGTATGGTTATGTGCTATGTTGGTTCCGGTTTGAGGCATGCTGGCGAATCAGTTCTGGTTGCGGAAATTGAGCCGAGGATGGCACGAGTGAAGCAAAGTTTTGACAAAGGTTATATGGTGCTTTGTAGATGTGTGAGAATCACAGGATGTCTTAAGCTGTTTTTGGTAAAGAATGCTTGGTGCATGGAGCAGGAAGATGTTTGTTTGTATTGGGATGAGGTCATATCCTGCGGTGTCAGAGTGCTAATGAGGCAGGGGTGGTTATGTTCGTTTGATCAGGTGAATTGCAGTTTGAATAAGAAGTAAATGACTCTCGAGAATGGTTTTAATGGGTTCAAGATTCTACATGTAACAATCAGGTGTCTTAAGGTTGTGTATGTGGTTAGAGACTGT